CGAAGGCCGTACTTTTCATGGAGTTGTTGTTGTTGTTTTTTTAATCATTGATGTTTTTGTCACACTCCTCCCATTCCTGTTGAACTCAGTTATTGCTCCTTTCCCAGTTCCAGCCCACTTGTCAACCAGTCAACAGTCCTCTGATGCACAGCGTCATCCACGTTGAGCACCGAGCAATTGGAATTTTGGATGACAGCATGGGAGCAATGCTGTCATCCATAGGCCCTTTCCATTGGGCATATGGAGAGCCAATGGAAAGGGGTTTTCCATTGGCTCTCCATAGACAAATACCTCAGTAAATGGACACAACTACGAAACCATGTTAAGCATAAATCTATTAACAGTTGCTTACTACAGTACTAGTCACGAACATGCCAGGGATGGTTACTAGCTAGCTATAACTTAGATATTCATCACGTAACTTATTATACTAATAGTCAAGCATAAAACATATATACACCTGTTAAAACCGGATGTTTTTATCAGCATGCCAATATTATTGGCCAAAATTTGCCATTTGGAAACCTATCAGTATCAGTATTCATAATGGTCGATAATTTAAAAACTCGAGAGATGGGAGAAACACCCTTCTTGCTATGAATATTGACATCATATAATTTTTCTGCCTCTCCAACCTCTCTAAACACAAAGTAGGGCAGGGCATAAACAATTAAGTAAATACCCTAACAGTTGTTGTGTGTGGTTAACTGTTTAAGGAAAAAATAATATGGCAACATATTGGAACATCGATTTTTTAACTCACCAAACAAAACATTTTTGTAATCTTGAAGTAACACTTAAATTGCACATTACCGTTAGCTAATATTTTTGAACTTTTTCATACCTCGCTGCACAGGAATAAATGTTTGTTTTGAACCTCAAGGGCGTAGGTAGGAAAAATGGTGCAGTAAGCATAGAATCCGCAAGAAGAACATTATTCGTTTAATTGAAAAGCTTCTTTCAGATGCTCCCACATTCCCAAGGGGTCACCACAGCAGATCGATCCACACAGATTTTGTACACGTTTTTATGTTGGAAACCATTCCTGACACAACCCTGTGTCTCCACCCATTTTTTTGCATGTTAGGTAAATGTGTTAACCACTACACTGCTGAGCCACTAATTGTTGTTTTACTGAGTATTTTGACTATTCATGTTATTTTTTAAAGTAAAACACAATTACATTCTTATAAATAGTACTTCTTTATCTTACACATTAGGTGAATGAATGGGTTAGGTTTTGGACTAAAGCCAAAATTCATCTTAAATTTGCCAAAAGAAAAATGTTTGTTTTTTGACACTAGCAACCAAGAGAACAAACATTCAATGGTAAAAATCATTAACAGGAGCCCAGAAATGCAAATATAGATCAGTGGTAGTTAGCATTGTCTGTACATGCAGCTTGTAGCATGCTTTAGCAGATAGTATAAACTTGACAAAACAGGAAACTGTTCAAAATAACATTGAATATTTATATTTTTAAATGTGTAATTTGTAGTTCTTGGTTATTTAGATGTATAAAGTAAAGCGTTTGGCTATGCTACCAGAGTTGACTTCATGGCTCAATCAGCATTTACTGTCTACAAAATAAATAAAACTAAATACAAAATACACTCGATCCTTAGCTTAGATAATTAATTCTGGTCATTGTTAACACCACAAGGTCGAAGGAGCGAGAGGTGTTGTTTTTGAAGGGCAATAAAAGTGTCATACCAAGTGAATGCTTCTGTGGCACACAAAGGTGATCCTAACATGTACGTAGCAGCACCAAATCTGCACAGGGATGGACCTTATAAATGGCTTTTGGTGAGCGGTGTTGGATTTTGTATAGAGCTGAAACTTTCAGCACAGTTGTTCAGGTACATGCCAGCCCACGACAGTTGGTGTCCGTTTCGAATATGCCTTTTTTTTCAGAGCAAATATGATCATCTAGACAAATGTTCCGTTGAAGGATCATTACATTTCTTTGACGTTTATATCACGATGTGTTGCTGGATGCTGCTTGCAGGAGCTGCAGACCATTCCATTAAGGCTGTTCCACACCAAAACCTATTCCTCAGGCTAAAATCCAGCTAATGACAATCGTTACTCGCTACTCATAATACAAACACCATTCCAAATGATGAAAAACAAACAAACGTTACCTCTGAGCGGTGTGGATGAAAACAGGGCGCAATTTATACGCTGCATTGAATAATTTCTTACTTTCGTCTTCCATCTATTTCACAGTCGCCATTTTCCTGTGGTGGTCTGGTGTGGGACAGATCATTTCTTTCGTACGGGTAATCGTACACGTAATTACTCTAGTGTAAGAAGACAAACTTTTATCCAAATAATAACGTTTAATCCTGTGACTGTTTTATATTACAGCTATAGCAATAGCTCATGTTTTCGTCAAGTATTATTTCGTCGCGTATTGTTTCGAGTCGGCCTCATGCTCCCCCGAGAGATTTGTAATGGTTCAGTCCAGATAGGAGGCATAAAAGCAGAGTTAATGACCATCTCTTTTGGGTAGCAGATTTTTGGGGGGGCTTGATGTCGTGTAATCACAGTTTTAATTGATAAGATAAATTGATAGGTTTGGTTTGGATTATTTTAAGCACACATTTGGTTTTGCTTTTTAAAGTTGCTACTGACGCACAGACAGGAATTGTATGCCAACACAGGAGAAATGTTAGCACTACCCCCCCCCCATGGTTGTCTTCTCTTGGGTCTTTGTTGCGTTTGTAGCCGGTTATTAGCCGGTTCTGTTACTCTCTGCCTCGTAGTTTAAAGACTTGAGACACATTTTTTTAAACATACGCGACAAAATATAAAAATAAATCCTGTAACCACTCTTATACCTGCCCCTGATTGCTTATAAGGGCATTTTCTACAGCTGAGTTAAGCACTGTCAAAAGGAAAACGTATTACTAAAACTATTGTCAGTCACTGTGGAGTGAGGTCAGGGGGTTAAACTCAGGCCTGACTAAACAATGTCTTCGTATCTGCAGAGTAATGTCTGTTATCACAGGTGGGTATACAGTCATCCTTTTAAGAAAGACATTGTTTTTAACTTACCTAAGCGGTGAACCGTCAAAATGTCTGCATAATTTATTGTTATTAGCTGGTTCTTACATGTTAGCTAAACTAAAGCTGCCGACACTCAGGTGTCCTTAACATAACAACCTAGAAAAGTAGTAATGTAAGTATTTTGCTCTTAAACACCTTCATTTAAATGCAAATGAAATGCAAACAGATTGTATGTGGCTTTGTTCAGGAGGTGAGCTGTCATGCTGTAAACATTTTCAAGAAATCTGTTAATAACTTGTATTAGCTTAAATGCTAAAGCGATTATGACTAACAGGAGGGCTGTGCAAAAGGCCTTTGCTAGGAAAGTGGGCAGTAGGTGCAGTGATTTATTGAAACATGTTCAAACGTACATGGAAATGCAGTATATAAGGCAAAAACAAAAAAACAGAGTTCATATAATTCTAACGTGCTTGAAAGTTGATATTTGACCACCTTTATTCTTCATCACAGCCTGAACTCACTTAATCAGAATTAGAATACTTTATTAATCCCTGGGGAAATTACGTAGCATTAGGCAGGTAGAATTAGGCACCTTTCCTGTAATTTCTCTAAGTAGTCTTGCTAGTGCTCCAAGCTTCTCGAAGGACATTCAAAGGTTGTCTTTGGATGTTGGCTGCCTTCTGTTCTCTGTCAAGATGATCCCACACTGCTTCAAAAATGTTGAGGTCCAGGCTCTGGGGAGGAGAATCCATAGTGTGATAGTGTGCCATTGTGTGTGTGTGTGTGTGTTTATATACAGGTATGCTTTTACTTCATCTGCAGTGTGTTTGGGATCATTGTCATGTTCAAAATCGAAGGTGTTGTCAATCAGACGCTTTCCAGATGATATTGCTTGGCGGATCGAAATTAGGTCATGACTTTCAGATACTGTTCATGTGCTATAGAGAGTTTTGTAGGCCTTATACTTCTTCTTTTGTCCTCTGCTTGCCCAGTTTACTATTTTCCTTAGGAAAATACTGCACATAGTACTGAGATCTGATGCATTTTCAGCTTGTTGATGCAAGAATTTTATTTTAATGCCTGTCAAACTTTGTGATCTTTGGTATTTTTTGTACTACAGAAATGTAAAGAAATTATTTGCTGACCAGCTGCTAGTAACAAAGTGCCTAAAGATAGGATTTAAAATATGTTCTTTTGTAAATTGTCTGTTATTTGTAGACACAACACTGGTACCCTTTAATGCTTCAGTGAGTCATAGGTTATTTTTAACTGGCTTAACAAACAACAACAAAAAATTCATAAAATGGTCAGGTACAAGGACTGGACTGAAAAAGCACCCAATGTCCAAAGGAAAACTTTGAAACACCTTCAAATGAGTTTTTTTTTAATACCAAGAAAATCTGGAATTAAAATAATTTTTAAAATGAGGGATGGCTCAAGATTATAGCACAGAACTGTATATTAAAGCTAAATCATTCCCATGTTATCTGCCCAATGCTATGATACTGTGGGGATTGAAAACTTTAAGGGCATAAACATGGTATAACTACATCATTAAGAGGCTTGATTGAGCCTCTGAGGTCATGAAAGAAAAATGAAGATAAACCTGTTAGCTCTGTGTTAATCTTTACCACAAACCAAAGTCCTTTGGTTGACAGCAACAATGGCAGTTTCCCCACATTCTCTAATCTAGGTTTTATAGCGAACAGGTCAGTTGTGCATATCTATTTGTTGAATCTCTATTTTCTTTCCTCTTAATCATTTACCCCTAAACCGGTTTGTATTCAAATTCAGTGAGTACATAGCTGTATTATCTGATGAGATGTTGGGCTCTGATGACTGCACCTTGGCCTTGGATGGTCTGTTTTTTGACAAACCCGCTGTCCATGAAGTGTAAGTACAAAAAGGTGCCCCACATATTCCCTTTTGTCTTTACCCCTGTAATCTGAATTATTCTGTTTGACAGAAAACCACTGCACCAGGAGGTCAGTCCATGGCAGCTGGAAGAGCCTCCATCTCTTACACATATTCCAGCCACTCAGGATATACAAGAGGAGGCTGAATCGCTCTCTACACGATACAGTATGTTGTGCTCTGGATTAGGTTGAATTCCTTTTCACTTGACTTGAGTAAACTGCTCAGTATCAGGCCAATTGAAGCCCTACTAAATTTAACTCTGTGACTCACTGACTCAGTGGCTTGAATAGGCTTGAAAGCATTCCCAGTTTTCTTTGACTTTGCATAAACAAATCTGAATCTGGGTCTTATGATATATTCAGGTATAGATGGAAAGGTTAATTCCCCGATGTTAACTTTCTTTAATCTAATCAAAGCACTGAAGGCGGCTTTATTAATTTTTTTTAGAGGGAAACGCATCACAGCTACCAGCAACTTGGATTCAACTCTTTCTCATTCTTCAATGTGACTTGCAGGTTTCTCAGAGGCAACCCATAAGTTTCAGCCTCTTTTTAAAGGATCTGCTGGCCTTAAGGTGCTACCTTCAACAATCAGCAGTTCCTGCAGTTTTAACAGTGATAAGAAAGAGACTGAGAAGACTAACGGAGGTAGCAGCAGCAGCACCAGCCAATGCGATGGCCTCCAGGGAGGTGAAGGATTCAGGGATTACTCTCAGGGTGGCTGTCAGAGTGGCAGAGGTGGCGATGAAACCCTGCAGGACTCTGGTCATGTGGGCCTCAGCAGATGGTTGTCTCAGGACTGCAGCAAAAGCCTGCCTCTACGGACAAGGAAAGTCTTAGTTATGTGCACATTGTTTTCAGACATTTACTGTGTTGCATGTGTTTAATGATGAGTAGAAACGTAACAGTTCCTTGATTTCAAGGCGTTTTAACTGCAGATTTGTAGTATGTGACCCATGTGACGCCATAAAAAGCAAGTCAACTCTTTGTTGATCTGCTTTATATGGCCCGTGGGATGTTTAAACTAGCAGGTTTACTATCATTCACTCTATAAAACACACATTTCCATTTTTTATACATATGTACCGTTGTGCTGATTTACTCTTTAATCTCTGGACTCATAAGAACACAAGAAGATGCTAAGCCATCCTCCATGTTAGCCTTGTTACCTGATTGTGCAGCCCCCTAACAGTCTAATCTGCTTCCACCTCTCTTCTCTTCCATTTCTTTATTTCCTCCTCCTTCCCACAACAGCTTGTTCAATATTGAGGTGTATACCAGTGGAGGTGACTCTTTAAACACAGGTGACCTCAGTAGCAGTGGTGGCAGCAATCAGACAACATCCAGACCTCAAACTTTTCTCAGTCAGGTTACCATGGCGACAGCGCCTCCTCCTCCTCCTCCTCTTCCTCTTCAGCCGCCACAGGCGACAGTTGGCCACGCAGCTCCTCCTTTCCCCTCCAAGCCCACCCTCTCACCCCCTCCCATGGGTTCATCTGCAGCGAGTGGCCGACCCCCGCAGCAGGCGGCACTCGCAGAGACGCAGGACAAGGGCACAAAGAAAGGTTTCGTTCCGCCCATGACGCCTCGGCCGCTCCTAATCCAAGGTGTTACACTGCACTGATATACTGGCAGGTTGACGCTGCGCTCACTGTGTAGGAGCTCTTTAAATACAGCTCATATAGCTTCTGTAAAGTGTTGCAGCTCATCAACATGCCAATGTCTGGCCATGGTAGCAGCTGCCATGGTGTATTTGGGTGTGATGAGGTGAAATGAGGTGAGCTCTGCCCATTGATTGCTCCAGTGTAATGAAACATACTGGTCACTAGGTGGTGAATAGTAGACGCAGTGGACGGGAACAATAGAGGCCATTTTAACCCATTGTGGTCTGCAAAGAATCAGCAGATTCTCTTTCGTCACAAATGTACAACACTACCAAATGCTGCATATTCAATTCAATGTGTAATTGTTTCAATGAAAATCTTGCATTAATGAAAATTTATAATGTCTTAAATAATATTGTCATTTCAGGATCTTCTGGATCTGGAGTTTTGCGCCCAGTTTCAGAAATACGTATCCTTTTTCTTGTTCAAATTGACACAATTTGAAGCTGTTAGGTGGTGTCTGAATCAAAGTGATGTTTCCTAAAACCTGTTACACAGCATTTAAGTTCAGATCTGTCTTCAGTGAGTTTCCCTTTTTCAATTACGTTCAGTCCAAAGCTCTGGATGACGTAAGCATTTGTTTGTAAATCTGCATACACAGAAATCATGAAAAACACATCTGGTTAAATGTCAATTTACACCTGTGTAAATGTAAACTACCCCTGGCACTGTGTCCTCCAGTGTATGTGTGTTTGGTCTGTCTGCAGGTTCTTTACACAAATAAAAACTTTGTGGCCTGTGCTCCGACTGGATCTGGTAAAACAGTGCTGTTCGAGCTGGCAATCATTCGCCTGCTAATGGAGACACCAGAGCCCTGGAGAGATGTCAAAGCTGTATATAGTGAGCATGCAGTATTATTGGATATAAGCTATTAAATCCCACTGCTCATTCACATCTATTCAGTGCTTTGAAATGGCACACCTAGCTATAATCACACACAGGGGCTTTGAATATGTGTGTTACTTTCACCATGTTCTGATTTTTTTACTCCAGTAATTTTTGGGGGGAGGATTTTTGACTTATGAAGCTCTCGTATAAAGAATCCATTGTTTGTTTTCACCAGTGGCCCCTATCAAAGCTCTCTGCAGTCAGTGCTTTGAGAGCTGGAAAAAGAAGTTTAGTCCTCTAGGGCTGACCTGCAAGGAGCTGACTGGTGACACAGAGATCGATGACTTCTTTGAGATTCAGGACTCCCACATCATCCTGACCACACCTGTATGTGACAATATGAAGCAGCATAATAATGCAAATGCAAAATAAAGGGTAGAAAAGGAGGGGAAATGTAAAATAAGATGTTATGTCTTATTTAAATATTGTTATATTTCTATGCATCATGGATTCATACATGATCATTTATATTTTTAAGGAAAAGTGGGACAGCATGACCAGAAAGTGGAAGGATAACTGTTTGCTGCAGCTAGTTAGGCTCTTCCTTATCGACGAGGTCAGTGTGTTTGTCACATATTTTGCTCACAGAACCGTTTTTGGATGTTACTTCTTGCCTCTTTATTTTCCTGCACAATGGGAGATGCACTGGCTACTTTGTGTCTTATGATGGAACATTGCACGATAGCACATAATTATCCTCTGCCCTCAGCACTTTATTTTACTTGAGGTTATCCATTAAAAATGATGGAACATCTTGTTCCTGGAGTCTGTATTATGGGAGTACACAGACACTGGCCTAGTTCTTTTAGACTTGCACTCATTTATGTTAATATTAAAACATAAAGATTGATTTTGTGTTTTACGTGCATTCAAATATCCCTGAGCTGTTTCCACGCATGAAAAATATGTTTGTACCAGGTGCATGTCGTGAAGGATGCAACCCGCGGTGCCACGTTGGAAGTGGTGGTGAGCAGGATGAAGGCAGTACACACCTTCAGGACTTCACAGTATCCAGAGGCCAGCCTCTCTATGAGAGTTGTGGCTGTGTCTGCTACCATACCCAATGTATCTGATGTAAGCACCCGCTGTACCTGTTTGCATTGTCTCTCATTTGTAGATCAGTAACTTGTGGATTCTCAAACTTCCTGCTTGTTTTTAGATAGCAGACTGGCTGTCAAATGAGAACGGCCCGGCCATATATCTGGATATGGATGAGAGCTACCGTCCGGTGAAGCTAAGGAAGGTGGTGCTGGGATTCCCCTGTGGTCCAAATCAAACTGAGTTCAAGTTTGATTTGTCACTTAACTACAAGATCGCCAACATCATACAGACGTACGCTGAGCAGAAGCCTGCACTTGTGGTGGGTTGTAAAATGTATCCAAACTGCATGTTGTTTATGCTTTCTTTCTGAACATGATGGAAGATGCAGGTTTTGGGGTTTTTTGCCTCATTATCTGAAAATTGTGTCTCGTAGTTTTGCTCTACAAGGAAAGGAACTCAGCAGTCAGCCGCAGTTCTGGCTAAGGATGCTCGATTCATCATGAGCATCGAGCACAAGCAAAGGTTTGATGTTCAATCATCTGTAGTGAAACATCCGCGCATGTGCAAGTTTACAGAGCAGGCTGTTCTGATTGAACTTGTGTGATCTGCTTGACTCTGCAGGTTGATGAAATATGCAAACTCCGTTCTCGATTCTAAACTGAGAGGTAAGGTATCTGAAACATGTTATCAGTGGTATTTTTTAAAAGAAAAATGACCTTGGGGCCTCCTTTAGTGGTTTGCAATATGCTCAGTGATGCTTTGGAGTTTCAGTTTCAACATCCTCTTGACACAAAATAAGGTCTAAAGAAATGAGCTCGAAGAACTTGAATGGTCTGCACAGAACTCACAGATCTCGTTTGTATCTAACTTATGTACGATGAATTGGAGAAAACACATTCAATAATGCAGATGTTGCATTTGGTCATGTTTATGTGAGTTTTGACATTATCAGCTGATGATTATGTGACATATTCGTGTATGGCCGAAAAGTAACAAGATGACAAAGACACTTGTAGTGCAGACACAGTGTATATAGAGTGTAATCTACTGATGTATCTATGAATTTATTTGAAAGTTGAGGTGATATACGGTTGCTGAGACAATGTCCCTTCTTACGTTTTTATGTTAATGTTACATACTTTGAAATGTTGGTAGTTGTAAAAGATTACAGCTAATGTAATGCCCCAACCAAATTTTGTTTATAGGATTTGAAATCTAGTGGCTGAACAGGAGCAAATCCCTTCAGCAAAGTTTTTATATCTTTTAAGGGTTTTTCATGTTTTTCAGCATTAAGATGATGTTTGAGACAAGAAAATACAGTTTCAGTTAAATAAACTGACACAACACACCCACTTTCACTGCACACAGACAAATCGTGCTTAACTTGTATGTAACCCTGTTTATTGAAAACTTTGTGTTTTGAATATGCAATATGTCAAATGTCTAACATAACTTTGTGGTAACTTTGTTTGCGGCCCAGATTTGGTGGCGTTAGGAGTCGGCTACCATCACGCAGGAGTTGACTTGTCTGATCGGAAGTTGATAGAAGAAGCCTTCACTCTGGGAGACCTGCCTGTCCTCTGTGAGGCACAGTTTTATCCTGCGCTGTGAAGTAATATGTTACCACACAAGTGTGCAACATGATACTTTTTTTCCCCTGTCACACTGCTGACACAAACAGGAAGGACAAGTACCACAGTAATTGTTTTTGCACATCAGCTCCTTGAACCAATCACAGGGTTGTGTTAAAAATAACTTGTGTTTCTGTACCATAATATGTATCAATTATATAACAACAATACGAAATATTGTTATTTTGATGGTAATAGTATATATATTTAAGATGATATACTTCATTTGTCCTAAAAGTGGTGAAATTGTGTGACAACAGCCAAAATATGAAACGTATCCTGTACAAAAAAGTATCCTAAATGAGGAATAGCAGCTAATTAATTTAAACAAAATGCAACAAAACAAAAATGAAATAATTTAAAAAAAACTAGAAACAGAAGCAACAGTGAGAGCTCAGTGAATAAACATTTAAGTAAAAGATAAAATATATTTTGTCATATATCACAAATTTCTCAAATTCGTTTGTTGCAGCAGTTCAAAAATTTAAACGCATATCAGATAGCATGACATGTACTTCAGTAAAATTATCTCAAGTAAAATTAGTAAATTAGTAAAACTTTAAAATGTATTAAGGCAAAAATCATCTCTAATCCAAATAAATACAATGAAGTAATTAAGTATCAATAGTACTTAAAAATACTACATTTAAAGGTATATTAGTACAATATTTAATACTCATATCCAACACTAGAATAAATGCTGGTGTTGTTTAATTAAGGCGCAAATACAGTTTCTGAAGTCCAAAAGGTACAAAAGTCCACAAAAGGGAAACAAACTTAAATCCAAAAATTCAAAGAACAGTGGAGAGGACACGAGACAAAGGCAGGCAGCGCTATTTATACGAACACCTGGGGAGTGGACACAGAGTCACACAGGAAATAACAAGAAGACTAAACACAAAGAGCAGAAAACTCACCGAATGTGAGACGAAAGCAAGACTAGCAGAATAAACCAGAAATACAGGAAATAAACAAAACAACAAAGATAACAAAAACTCCATGAATGAATACTAAACTAGACAAAGACATTAAGAAACAAGAGACATTAAGAAAAATATGGAAAACTCAACCCAACAATGCTAGTAATGATAACTCTGGAATAACAGTGAAAAACCAAAAACTCCAACGTCAGGCAGATCCTTAGATCATAACAAACTGAGCACTAGTAGAATAACTTAACCAGTCTTCTGTTTTACTTTATGGTGTCTCAGTTTCTGTTTGCTCTCTCATTTCTACTATCCTAGTTACCACCAGGACTTTATCCATGGGGGTAAACCTACCAGCTCACCTGGTGGTGATCAAATCCACCATGCAGTATGTTGCAGGCTCCTGTCAGGAGTACAGCGAGGCAGATCTGCTCCAGATGATAGGCCGTGCTGGAAGACCACAGGCAATGACATGTTTATGACAGAATATAACAGCAATGAATGCATTATTATATTTAGGTTTTATGATGTACTTTCATTTTCATCCTTTCTGCCTCCAGTTTGACACATCTGCTACTGCTGTGATCATGACCAAGATTCAAACCAGAGAGAAGTACCTGAAGCTTATGAATGGGATAGAAGTCATTGAGAGCAGGTAGGACCAGTAGTAATGCTCTCTTTAAAATCCCTTCTGTCTTTTTCTTCTTTTTCTTCATATCGCTCTCTCACAAGTGCGCACAGGTGAAACGATCATGGGGTAACACTAGACTCTGTTTCCACAGCTTACACAGCCACCTGGTGGAGCACTTGAATGCTGAGATTGTTCTCCAGACTATCAGTGATGTCAAAATGGCTTTGGACTGGATTCGCTCCACCTTCCTTTACATCAGAGCCCTCAAGAACCCCACACACTATGGTTAAAGCCTTCTCCTGTCTTCTGCTTGTTGTTAATCAACTGTGAGGTCTGTTAATTTTTTTAAAAACCAGTGAGTGTCAGCTTGTCTGCATTTTCATTTCAGGATTCTCTGCCGACCTAGACAGATGTGGAATTGAAGCAAAATTGCAAGGTGGGCCATAGCTGTACTTTTCTGAAACTGTAGGTTACTTTTAGAAAAATACTAAAAAGTTCAAGCCACAGTAACCTGGCTTTTTTGCTCAAATGTAAGTGTCGGATCTGTTCCCTTATTTAAATTTAAGCTATGTACCGTTTCTGTCATCTTCATTAGAACTGTGTCTGAAGAATCTCAACTCTCTGTCCTCTGTTGGTCTGATCTCTATGGATGAGGATATCACCATCAAACCGACAGGTAGATTTTCAGGCTGTTTTCATGTCTTTTTTTGCAGCCAAGTCTAATACTAAAAACCTGAAACTGTTAAGCAATTTATTTCTGTCTCTCACAGAGGCTGGCAGGTTGATGGCTAGGTACTGCATTGCCTTTGACACCATGAAACAGTTCAGTAAAGTGTCTGGGACTGAAAACCTGTCTGATCTGGTAGGTTTTCTGTACTATGTATTTGATGTAAATGCATTTATTCAAGATTGACTCTATACAGTGTTATCCTTGACATTTTGCAGGAACAGCATGCCTGACCTTGTTCTTTCTCTTGCTGCCTCTCACAACTAAACTAAACTCAGCTAGAGAAAAAATAACCATTATGAGTATTCACCGTCCTTGTATTGTGTGTACAGATTGAGCTGCTGTCAAAGAGCAGAGAGTTCAGTGACATCCAGCTGAGAATGAATGAGAAAAGGTCCTTGAATGGTTTGAACAGGGACAAAAACAGAGTCACCATCAGGTCAGACACATTTATAGGATGCACAAATATATGCGCAGCATCAAAAACGTTGTTTTATAGGGGAAATACATAGTGGGGGGGGGGGGGTGAGATAGACACAAGCCAGTGAAAACTAAATCTTTATGCGTTTTTCCAGGTATCCCATTGACGGAAAGATCAAAACCAGTGAGATGAAAGTAAACTGGTAGGTTTAAAAAAAAAAACGATAGTTTTTGATTTTATATTTTTCAGAATTTGCAGTGTTAAAGAATTGTATTACTGACTGTCCATGTACATAAATATTGTGCTTTGTAGTTTGATTCAGGCTCAGTTAAGCTCCATCCCAGTTCAAGATTTTGGACTTACACAGGACACAGCAAAGATCTTCAGGATTGGCATGCGCATCAGCAGATGTACGTTCAGGGAATAAGAAACGTACAAAAGACGAGTTGCCTGTATTCATGTTTTTAAGTTTTGATTTTATTATGATCCCATTCAGGTCTGTCTGAGTTTCTGAGTCAGCGGGTCAAGGCTGTTTTTTCTGCTGTAGTCAACTCCCTGATCCTGGCTAAGTGCTTCAGAGCAAAGCTTTGGGAAAACTCACCCTATGTTTCCAAACAGCTGGAAAAGATAGGTGGATGCCTCTCTATGTTCTTTTTACATTATAAATTGATACAGCATACTTCATTGTAGGTCAACTGCTGCATAATGGAAATATTAATAAACCAAATATTCCTTCTGTTAGGCGTACACTCACTGGACACTTCATTAGGTAAACTTTGCTAGTACTGGGTTGAACTACCTTTTGCCTTCATTTCTGTCTTCAATTCTTTATGGCACAGATTCAACAGGGTGCTGTAAACTTTCCTCAGAGATTTTGGTCCATATTGACATAATCACATCACACGGTTGCTGCAGATTTGTCGGCTGCATATCCATGATGTGACTCTTCTTTTGCATCACATCCCTAAGGTGCTCTATTGGATTGAGATCTGGTGACCCCCGGGGTCATTTGAGTCCAACGAACTCATGTCATGTTCAAAAAAACAGTTTTAGATGATCTGAGCTTTGTGACATTGTGGAAGCAGCCATCAGAGGATGGGTACACTGTGGCCTTAAAGGGCTCGAAATGATCAGCAACAATACTCAGGGAGGCTGTCATGTTTTAAAGAACTTCAGCCAGTACTGAGGGGCCCAAAGTGTGCCAATAAAATGCCACCTCATTACACCACCCCCCACCCTACTGTTGATGTCATGTTGCTAATGACAAATTCTGACCCTGCTCTTTTGAATGTTGCAGTAGAAATTGAGACCCATCAGAACAGGTAAAATGTTTCCAGTGCTCTGCATTTTTGTGAGTCCCTCCAGTTTCCTGTTATTCGCTAACAGGAGTAACACCCAGTGTAGTTCTTCAAGGTTCCAGAGATACTCTTCTGCATTCCTTCTTTGTAAAAAGTAGTTATTTGAGTTACTGTTGCCTTCTTATCAGCTCAAAGCAGTCTGCTTATTCTCCCACTTGCAGCGTCGACCATTTTCTCCCAGAGAACTGGCACTCACTCGCTGGGTACTCTCTCTTTTCAGGTCATTCTTTGTAAATCCTAGAGATGGTTATGTGGGAAAATCACAGTACATCAGCAGTTTCTAAAATACTCAGACCAGCCCATCTGCAATCAGCAACCACAGCATTTTCAAAGTCATCATGTTAAATAATGTTTTCTCCATTCTGATGTTCACTTTGAACTTTAGCAAATCACCTTGATTGGGGCTAACAAGCAGTTGAACAGGTGTACCTAATAAAGTGACACAATAGGTAAGTGTATATTGCCGTTACACTTTATAGTAATTAATTAATAACATGTGTTGTGTTTCAGGCCAAACTCTGTCAACTGCCATGGTGCATGCTGGACTCACCACATTCAGCAAAATAGAGCAAATCAACGCCAGAGAGCTTGAGCTGGTAAGTCTGTGTAATACTTAAAAGTAAAATGCTTTATAATCTGAAGATAATCTAATAATTAATCTAATCTAAATAATCTACAGCTTTTAATTCGTGTGCTCAGTTTGTTGTTCAGTGGGTGTGTGGTTGACGTGGTACATTTTGGTTCACATGTGTGTGACTACAAACTTTGGCCAGGTCATGAGGATGTTGCACCACCCTACACCCACCTACTTTTACCTTCACACGATGCCACTTTTTCTTTCACACTTTAGGTTAATGTGAAAAAAAAACA